AACAATTAGACACTCTAAGAAGACAAAACTTTCCATTACCCTACCGACAACATATACCTTTACACCCTGCAATGTTCGTCGGTAGGGAACCGCTTTTTAGTCATAAATCATTGTTAGCGTTTTTAAAAGCACTTCATAGTTTTCATATCATATACCCGAGCATCCCTTAGCACGACCTCTCCAGGGAGGTTTTTGCTGTGGTGGCTACACAGGAAAGCACTTGCCTCACGGCCCTTGGACGCAAGGGTATGACCGAGTGAGGTACTTGTGCTAATGCCATGCATGTCCACCATCGTTTTACATTATCACCAACTTTTGTCACCTATTCACACCACACACACCTTTCACGGCATGGTCATGATTTTATTACTTGTATGTTTTTACCCGCCTTACTGCGAGGAATTTTATGGCCCTTATACAGCCGCTAATCACAATCATTATCCACATTCCTTGTCCCATGAACTGGCGCTTTTTGGCCATCAAATGGCCCTTGTGCCAAAAAACACCATATATCATCATCATCACCGACATGTTGAATGGTGTTTTAGCGTGCATTCTTGCAGAACCGTAAACTTTGTGTGCTCAACCCGTCCATATGAGAAAAACAGCCAAAACTGGTATCTACTTTTGATTGTTATTATGTAGGCTAAAATAAACTGTAATATAAATTTCATCAAGTCATGACTGTTTAAGGTGATAGAAAGGAAACTGAGATGTTGATACTTTGTGGGGTAACTTTGTGACACGCCAACTGTTGCAAAGTTACCCCAAGAAGGGCAGTTCTTCCTATGATGTCAAAGCTAGACGGCCTAGGAAGAGGTCTCCTCTTGAGGACAACAGCGCAGAAAAAGGCAGTGACAGTGAAGCATCTTCAGATGGTCAGCACGGCGACAACAAAAGGTGGTCGGAAGGAGATGCAAGTAATTCCGAGGTACTCTCTGGAATTCTTGACAACCTATCTGAAACGGACACTCCTACCACTTCCCTGATATCAAATACCAGCAATGTCTCGAGGGTCCATGGTGCGGATTCTGGAGAAAAAAAAACCTTCAAGAACGATGGCTTCGTCGTAGTAAACTTTGAACGACAACTTTACCCGGGAAGAGCGATGGCAGTGAAACCTGATGGGCATTTCGTCAGCACTATGGAGAGGACCCAAAGAAACTGGAGATGGCTGAACCCAAAGACGCAATTTTGTACTCAAAATAAAAAAAAGTTTCTACTCAATTGAATCCACTAGGCCTGTAAGCAAATGGGGCCTATTTGAGAAAAATTATCTCGATTGAGGAGGTACATGTATGAATAAGTTCTCATGCAATTCTGACGTTGCTAGAGCAGAAACCAATTGTAGATGACTCAAATAAACTTTTGATGGTGTAAATTTGGGCCAGCCTTTTTTTCCCCAATCATATTCAGCTAAAAACAAACGTCACAAAGTTGCCCCTCACGATGGGGTATAATTGTGACAGCTTTTAACCTGAATATAGCCATTTGTAGTAAAAATGTGAATTTGTAGAACATTTCATCGTGTGAGGGAAGGTTTTAGAAACATTGTGCCATTATTCATTCACCTTTATGTTGATAATTCTCCAGCAAGGGAAGGAAAACATGCAGTACAATGTAACACCATTTTACGGTATCCGTTCGGAACAAAGGCCACACACTCGCCATGTAGTGCTGCACTCTTTAGATGGCTGTGCTTTTGAGTGTGCCTACTGGAACCTTTTTCTCTAAATTTCACTGATATTCATGTAAAAAGTTCTATTGATCTTTTCCATCAGCCACTTGGACAATTTCTTCCACCTTATGACAAAACTTGCGAATATGCCGTGCACTTCTCGGAAAAAGGGGCAGAAAGTTAAATGGAAAATTACAACATACAAGCCCTAGTGAACTACAGATCGCAGTCACTTTCCCAGTGCTGCTTGGAGTGTTTCAGCTTGGAACATCTTAGTCAATTATTAACAATGTGTAATGTATTGAAAGTAGTTTATTACAACAAACCATGAATTGGCTGTGGCAGTAGCTTTTTGTGAAAAATAGTAAATCATCTCACTTGTATTAGCAGATCACGTGTGTTTCTTTTACACTGTTTATTTTTATTCTATCGCCTCTATTTCTTTTGCACTGTGCATAAGGAAACCACAGTTTCCACTTTTTCCTTTTACTGTACTACCTAAAAACGAGGAACAGCCATTGCAACACTACTTGCGAGCTGTACGACAAGTGAGTGCTTTGCACCAGTTTATAGTTTGTTTAAGGGACACTAAAGAGAAACAATGACTTGGTTTACATTGGTAAACTTTACTCTGAAAACTCTATTGACATAACTTTCGCTGTCATGAGTTCATTATTAGCAGAGAAATCCAAGGTTGAAGTTTCATTTTTAAATTTTATGCCAAAATCTTCACGTGTGATTTAACAATCTTAAACATCTATTTCCCGTATTTTTGCAACATTTGCTCGATGAAATTTCATAAAATTTCGTATTTCAGGTTTATGGCACCCACAGATCACAACATACTTTATTTTTATCAAGTAGAAGCTATTAGGACCCAGTAGATGCAATCAAAATTTAATCTGTCATGGTGTTTGGTGTGGGAACGTCACAGTGGCATCTCCACCTGCATTTTCTTTTCTTGCTTACCAAGCATAATGTCGCAGTAAGAGTGGTGTTATCAGGATTACGAAATTGTACGTTACCAGTACGCGAAGAAATATTTTACTCTTTAGTGTCCCTTTAATAAAGAAACAGATCAGCACAAAACATCACACAGGAAGAATAAGTGGTCCACTTCTATCTTTTCTCCTGACCAGAGTCTGCTGTGAAACACTGTCATTCAAATTTTGTCATGACAAGTTCTGGTTTGACGTGGCAGAGCTGGCAACGTTTCTCTGTGCCTGGCAGCGCAAAAGAAATAGAAGTAATAGAATGAAAAAAAAAAAACAGTGAAAATGAAACACAGGTGATCTGTTGGCACAAGTGATATGATTTGCGATCTTTGACAATATGCTATTGCCACAATCAGTTCATGGTCTACTGTAATAAATTACTTTTGATACATTGCACAGTACTAATGAATGAATAAGATGTCCTTAGCTGAAACACTCCATGCACCTCTGCACAAGTGACTGCCTTCTAAAGTTCTTCCAATATTGGTTGGACAAATGCCTTGAAGCTTTATAACAGCACCTCAAATTAGTGGGATCCTTTGAATTTCTAATAAATGAAGTATGTCATAAACTGTGGTGTCCTACAACCTTCCCTTACAACTGTCTGCAAGTTAATGAAAAAATTAATTAACTAGCTTTATTAATTAGTTTATTCAAGTAAATTTTAGCAGCAGCAAGGTAGTATTTGGGCCTCGAGGTAGAGTTTGTGTTTAAAAACAACAGGTGCCTTTCTAGCGTTGCACTTTTATAAAACATCTGTATTGTTCAAAAAAGAACACCCTGCACCTTGGCTCTAGGGTGCTTGACAGTGTCATGAATAGGGCCAACCGGCAAAATATCAATTGGGGACTGTTGTGTATTACATAAACAGCATTCACTGCCTGATAGGTAATATTCGTGCAATATTATGAGTGTGTTTTATTCACTATGCACAATAATTGACTAGTTTATTCAGGTGACATTGACTGATTTCAAGAATGAGTATATCAACTGCAGTAGCTTTGTTGTTATCCTGCTGGCCTCGAGGTTGCGAGTATGACTGCAGCACGGAAGTTGAACTTTTTCTTGCTTGAATTTTAAAGACGCTTGTGCAGCTATATCCAGGCAAACAATAAATAATCTGTGTGGTGAAAATAATCCAGAGCTCTTTAAGTAAATTATCTTTTATCAATATGCTATATGCATTACAGTTGTGAAAACATTGACAAATGAAATTTAGAGCGAGCAAGGTATTGTGTAGATATTTTTTAAAGCAAGAACTGAAGCCCATGAAAATTTAGTAAATTTTTGCTATTATCTGAAGTATGTGTTCCAAATATAGCATGAGTGTAAATGTAAACAGTGCACATACGGGCTTGGCTTATTGTACTGGAAACAAGCAGCTCTGTTGGTTTTCCCATGCATTAGTAGTTTGCAGCACAAATTTTGGTTTTCATGAAGGTAAAATCTAGATTTATGAGACTGCAGCCCTGCTTCACACATGCATGGGACACAGCATGCTGGATGCTGCTGCCCAGGACAGCATTGGCCACTTCCAACCCTGCTACTTTCCAGAGGTGCATTTTGACAAACCCTTAAGGGAATGCATCTGAACGAGCTATGCCCTGCAAAACACGTGGCCTCACATTTGGTAAAGAGCCTTGCAGTCTTGGTCACTTGTGTATGTACGCTTATGCTTATGTGTACGCTTATGTGCATCTTATTTGCGAAAGTAAAGCAGTGCTAATTTTTTATAACATGGGCATAGAAAAACTTCTCTCTGCTTTCAACCAGCAGATAGTCGATATGTGAATTAGCACTGCTTCAGTATCCCTGCATGTCACTGAATTCAAATTCTTAAATAGGCAAAACTAAGCAGTTTGCTCACCTTAATCTTCATCTGCTGTCATTAGTGCGCATTTCTTAAGGGTTTTCAGCTTTGTCAAGTGTAACTTGTGTAGGTTTCAATAAACTTGGCTGGAGTACAGCACCTGTCCTGCCATGTCTTTCTGTGTCCTTAGAAAAATTAGCGCTGGTTTACTTTCAGGAAGAAGAAATTATGCTTTATAAACTAGCCCCGCAACCGGTTTTGTTAAGAATGTCTGTGCACCTGGCACTATGGGGATTGAAGTCTGCACAATAACAGAAGGCTGTTGTGTCAAACTTTTCTGACGTAACCTTCAAGGTTGTGGTCTGCTTGCCTATAAGGTAGTATGAGATAAATCATCATAATGTACCTTTATACTATTATGTAGAAAAGAAAAAAAAAAACCTGCATCTAAAATTAGACAACTGAAATGCTATTTCACTCATATTTTTTTAATTGCCAACCTTGTTTTCTTTGACAGCCAAACGTGCTTGGAAAAACTCAAAGGTCATCGGATGCAGTTTCTCCATCATTCACCACAACATCTGGCAGCAGGGAGGCGGTCAGGCACTACAAACCAAAAGTGATGACAAGTGTATATGAGAGTGAGCAAGAGAGTGAGCTAGATGAAGACCCATTTCCACCATCTATTCGAAAACTGATCCTCAGGAAATCATCTGAGAAGGCTTTATCTGCTGAGCCGTTGTCCAACTTGCCGCCCAGCGAGCCCTCTGAACGCTTGAAGGATCTGTACATAGACAATGAAAGCTCACATACAAATGAATACTCAAGTGAATTTTCAAGAAAGACTCTGCCACTAGGTAGGCCAGTGCTAAATATTATTTCAGAGCCGTACCCACCAGAGAGTAAACATCTGCCAGTGAAGAAAGTGTCAACATCTTTTGGAAAAAAGAAATCGGGAAAACTAGACTTTGAAGCTGGCACAATTGATGTAGTTGTACCAACTTGTCAGGGACTACATCAAACAGTTTCTATGAATCGGAGTGCTGCTATTCATGGTACAGAAAAGTATGCTTTGAAGAAATCAAAGAATAGACGTTCCAGGATACAGCGCGTGGAAGTACCAGAAAGCAGCCAAACTGGGAATGAACAACTTGCATTAGCTGAAAAGCATATGCCAGACGTTACGTACATGCCATACAGTTGCACACCTGTTGCTCAGGAAATTCAGATGAAACAAAAAATACAATATACCTCTGAATCCCAAGGCACAAAATGCAGCCCATCTGGAAGTCAGCAAGGTGTGGTAGCCAAAAAGTGCATGTCAAATTCTTCAGTATTTGTGCCACAAGGTCACAGTACACCTCTCCCTTCAGTGAGACATATTATTTCTATTGGATCTTCTAGTATTCCAATGGAGCTTAGCTCTGGGTTAGCAAGACGGAGAACAACTGCAACACAATGGAAAACACAACCGGCTTCTTCGGCCACCGAAAAGGCACAGGTGAGTCGCATTTCTCGAGGCACAGCAGCTGAATGTAAGCAGCACAGTAGAGCTTCTCACAGAGCTGACACAACTTAAAACAGGTCAAGATAATTACGAAAACAGTGAAAGCTCTTCTGGCAACAGAGCTGACACAACTTAAAACAGGTCAAGATAATTACCAAAACAGTGAAAGCTCTTCTGGCAATGCCTGTGAGATTGCTTTGGTAAAGCAGTCATGTTTGTCAAAACATAATAGAAGTCAAGCCCCTACTTAAGATAAGGAAGCCAGTAAAAGAAGCCCTAAACAGCTACACATGTCATTTAAGGATCAAAGAAAACATCTGGAGCATACATTCATTAACAATGTAAGTGACTTTTGTTCTGTCAATGTAACCATGTGACACTATAGTTATGTGGGCTCTCTGAAACAATTAGCTACACATTTGGCTCTTTGAGCTGCTTGGTTTCGTGTGCAAAGTCTCAGTCTTGAAATGCAAAAAGTTTCTGCATGTGGCTTCCATATTTCAAGAAGCGAGTCTCTATATTTGTGTAAGAATATCTGTACTAGAAGTATGTATTTGTTATTTTTCAAATTTTTGGTATTCCATGTAAAGTAACCATAGAGCATAAACATTTTAATGTAATGGCCAGCCTCTGCTAACATACATAAAAGCATTTATAACGCTTTTCTTTCTATATTTCCTGTGTTGCCTCATGTGTTATGCCCTGTCATTTGGGATTTTGAAAATGTTTTCCCTCTATTTTGTGTATATTTTTGCCAGTAGATTTTTATTTTATTATTTTAACTTGACCCAAGTCCAGTTAAACCTTTAAGAAGCTGCCTATGAAGAACTGTTTGTAAATGTGTGAAATTTCAATGTTATTCAAAGTGCTGTATGTTATGTTTTAACAAAACAAATGTTATAATACATTGATTTATATACTTCATAGTAATTAGTCTTAAATAAATTGCAATTAAATATTTCTTTATCGTGTAGCTATTGACATTCTCTTTTTGCATATGTAGAATCTGATTTCAGGCTAGAAATAAGAAACCCATTTGTTTTCTATTATGTTCATTTTGAGCAAAGAAAAATTACTTTTGACATGGCTCACTGAAAGGGGCACAGTAAACAACGCGTCGAACATGGTAGTGCCTTCAGTGAAATGATCATATGCAATAGTTTATCGCGAAATGAAATTGAAACAAATATATTACACCGAAAGTTCAATTCATCCTTACGTCAATGTGTCTTTCATTGCCGCTAGGTGACATAATTAGTAAATACAAGTACTTAGTACACAAATGTGTACTAAGCATCTCAGAGGGTTTCGATTAGTCTTTTAGGCATGTTAAAATATCTATTATTATTATTATTATTATTATTATTATTATTATTATTATTATTATTATTATTATTATTATTATTATTATACATGTAGGATTGGAGCTTTAGGTGTTTATTCTCACCAAGCAGAATATCTGAAGTAACTTATAGTAACATGGTAGTGCCTTCAGTGATATGATCATATGCAATAGTTTATCGCGAAATGAAATTGAAACAAATATATTACACCGAAAGTTCAATTCATTCCTACGTCAATGTGTCTTTCATTGCCGCTAGGCGACATAATTAGTAAATACAAGTACTTAGTACACAAATGTGTACTAAGCATCTCAGAGGGTTTCGATTAGTCTTTTAGGCATGTTAAAATATCTATCTATCTATCTATCTATCTATCTATCTATCTATCTATCTATCTATCTATCTATCTATCTATCTATCTATCTATCTATCTATCTATCTATCTATCTATCTATCTATCTATATATCTATATATCTATCTATCTATCTATCTATCTATCTATCTATCTATCTATCTATCTATCTATCTATCTATCTATCTATTATTATTATTATTATTATTATTATTATTATTATTATTATTATTATTATTATTATTATTATTATTATTATTATTATTATTATTATTATTATTATTATTATTATTATTATTAATTATACATGTAGGATTGGAGCTTTAGGTGTTTATTTTCACCAGGCAGAATATCTGAAGTAACTTATAGATTACTATTTTGCAGCTACGTGTTAGCCGAGCTTTCAATAGCTGTTTTCTGGCCTTATATATATATATATATATATATATATATATATATATATATATATATATATATATATATATATATATATATATATATATATATATGCATGCTCCGGCCAACCTCGTTGGTTACACAACTTTTGCATAATATGTGTTATTTTTCGGTTCCCATTAAAAATGTGTCGATGACATTCCACTGTAGTGCCATAGTAGGGTCATTCCATGCCAACTGTCCCAACCAGGGCGATCGCCAATCAAATAGTTTGAGAAAACTACACACATGTAGACATTAGTTCTTAAGCATTTTCACAAGATATTTTGAGTGGCAAAAATTTTTTGCTCCTGTGACCATCATTTGAAATTCAGAAAAATGGTAGAAAACCAGGTACAGAAAAAAACTCTCTACAAATTGACCGTCTCGCACATACTTTCAATAGTTGCTTTTTTGTGTTTTCAGGGCAACATACTTTTATTATAAAACAGTTGCTCAGGATAGCTTGAAATTTTTCACTCTTTAGAGCATAGACAATAGAGCATAGACAAAAATGAGTACATTGTAGTGTTTTTGAGAATTTTCCTACCAAACATGACCTTCAATAGAGTGCACAAGTTACTTCTATCAAACTCCCCATAAAACTTGCTATTTACAAATGTTTTCGTTTGGCTGGTGCGTGGTGCTCTAGAATGAAATCCTGAGCTTGGCAAAAATGCCACTCTGCTTTAAGTTGAGACGTGTGTAGCACCCTAAGGTGGTCCAAGAAAAAATGAGGAGAAAAGAGCGTGCTATTGATAATCATATCGATTGTCTACAGAAAGTTCAATCGAAGCCATTCTTTCTTATGCAGTAAATTCAGTTGGCTTGTATGTCCCCCATAGCAAAACATTGTGATGGTGGGACTAAATTTCAACAATGCTTTTCACCACTAAAACAAAAATGACTTCGATTGAATTTTCTGTGAACAACTTTTCTCCTGATTTTTTCTTGGACCACCTTTGGATGCTACACACATCTCAACTTAGACCAAAGTTATGTTTCTGCCAAGTTCAGAATTTTATTTTAGAGCTCCTGCACCACACACCGGCCAAACGAAAATATTTGTTAATAGCAAGTTTTATGGGGAGTTTGATAGAAGTAATTTGTGCACTCTATCGATAGTCGTGTTTTGTAGAAAAATTCTCAAAAACACTGTACGTTACTCATTTTTGTTTATGCTCTAAAGAGTGAATGTTTCCAAGCTATCCCAAGCAACTGTTTTATAATAAAAGTACCTTGCCCTAAAAATGTAAAAAAGCAACTATTGAAAGTACATGCGAAACGGTAAATTTATATGGAATTTTTTTGTCGTACCTGGTTTTCCACCATTTTCCTGAATTTCAAATGTTAGTCAGGGAAGTAAAAAATTTTTGCCGCGCGAAATATCTTGCGAAAATACTTCAAAACTAATGTTTATATGTGTGTTATTTTCTCAGTCTATTTAATTGAAATTGATTTTAGATGAGCGCCTGGGTCGGGACAGTTGGCGTGGAATGACCCAGAATTGATATTTCTGCAAACTCTACACAACTGTGCACGATAAATAGTTTACCTCAGTATCAAATTTCAAAGGGCACCCTCATCAGGCCGATGGACTACATTACCTAAGCAATTTTTTTGATCAATTTATTATTGAAGGATAAGAAATTGAGTGATATTCTTATGGTGCGAGGAGGCAAGCTTTTCAGCCAATCAGAATGTCTCCCTATTTTGCCTTGTTAAGTATCCACATTCAGGGTCTATTTACCAAGGGCACAGGGTAAGATTAGACAAGGGATAATGGGCAGCGATGAGCGATGGCGTAGTGGTTAAAACATCAGCCTCGCATGGAAGAGGTCCGTGGCTCGAATCCCCGTGCTACGCAGTTCCCAACCAGATAAAAAAAAAAAAACAGTTCACGTGGTCATAGAACTGCATTAAGAGGCCTGGGATGCGGCCTCACCGGTGACCACCGCCGGTAACGCACTCCCTCACCAGAGAAGGATTGGCCACCCTGGTGCAGCATCTGGCCACTACTAGAGTGTACTAAAAGTGTTGAGGGGCATGACCGCTCCTCGCAGCCTGATCCCTTCTGTGTTGCTCGCAGCGGCGGCGCTGCAGTCGTATAGTACTGAAAGAGCCGCGCGCCGCGTGCAGGAACTGCTATGCGCTTCGCCTCCTTCGTCGCGCTTTCTTGATGCAGATTTCTTCGTACCTGCCCATCATTCATGTCTAGCACATGATGCCATAGCCCTTGAAGTATGACACGCCAATCTACTGAATTTGAGCTCCATAAAAGCCCTTGTGAGAGATCGAAAATAATTCAAAAAGGGTGTGTCTTATACTGATTTCTTCTCTCTTAACTCTTTTTTTCGTTGGTTAGGGGTCTACAATATTCAGAATAACAGAGCCGATTTATTGGAAGTTAGCTGTGGTCAGAAAGCTGTGAGATTAAAAAATAAATACTGTGCCACGCACGCAGAACCAGAAAGCCATAAGTAAAGAGGGGAGAGGAAGAAAATTTGAACCCCCTACACCACGAAATGTTTTCGTAATTTAACTTTTCAGGGTATACTAAACTATTTACACATTCACAGCGACCACGAAGTGCCAAAGTTGGGCGTTCTGCTGCAGACCCCACCCCCTCAAAAAAAAAAAAAAAAAAACAACCCTGCCATGGGCAGCCCTGCGCCAATAGTTTACAGTTGGCGAAGCTGAATATAGCGTGTCTCTACAAATTCGCACTGTAGATTTCACCTTGTCGACAGTATGAGGTCTCAAAACTAGTTCGTCTAACGTAGTCGGATGAGAAATGCACCGCCTAAAAATAGCTGTGCTAAGGGGCATTGCATGGATATATATATATATATATATATATATA